GTGATTAAAAAACTCAATATTAAATGATGTGATTAAAAAAATTTATTTAAAAAAACATAAAAACAATCTAATTCAATCCATCAAATTTATGATCTCAGTCATAAAACAAAGATAATCTTATTAAAAAAATAAAAAATAACTTAATTTAATCTGGATTAATCTATTAAATTTATGACTCTGATCATGAAACTAATATAACCCTATAAAAAAATTAAAATAAATTATAAAACTTAATTCTTAATTAATCATGTCAAACCTAATATTGAACAATGAAATTTGTAAAAAAATTTAGTAATAATACCCAAAAAATGAGCCAAGTCACAACCAGGGTTAACTTTTTTAGCATTATTTCTAGGCCATGAGACTATAATAATCCTATAAAAAAATTAAAAAAAAATAATAAAGTCTAATTCTCAATCAAACACAATATTGTATAATGAAATTAAAAAAAATTAAGTTAATCGGGTTAATTTATCAAACTCGCAACTTGGGTCAGAAAAAAAAGGGTAACTCAATAAAAAGCAAATTCAATGCTGAATAACTTGTGATTCGTGCCATAAGATCAAGATAACCTTTTAAAGAAAAAAAAACTTGATTTAACTAGGATAAAAATACAAAAATCTATAACCTTGATAATGAGACTAATATATTCTCATAGAAAACAAGTTAAAATAAATTATAAAACTCAAATCTTAACAAATTCAATGTTGAATAATGAAATTAAAAAAAATCAAATAAATAAAAAGAACACAAATAATGACTGACCTAAGTCAACTTGAGGTAACTTGTTAAGCAAAAATAACCTAATAGAAAACAAACAAAATAAATCATAAAGTATAATCATCAGTCAATCCAATATTAAATGATGAAATTAAAAAATCTAGTTAAAAAAAATCTAAGTTAACTAGGTTAATCCATCAAACCTATAATTCATGTAATGAGAATGAGAGAATCCAATAAAATAAATAAATTTAATATTAAAAGATTAAAAAAATAATCATTGATTAAAAAAATATTATTTCAATTAATAGTGTTTTATAAGAAGAGGCACCTCTATTTTAAGTTTTTTTTTTTTAATTAAAGTAAATTCTCTTAATTATCATTTAAAATTGTATAAAGAAAAAACCTAAGATTTCTTATCAGTTTAGCTATGTATGGTCCGATTAATAGCCAATTAAATAAATCTTTTTCGATAAATTAAATAATAAATTTACATTAGAAACAAAAGGTGAATTCTTGGTTGATAATAATTAAAATGCATCACAAAAAATATCAATGTCATTTTCTTCAAAAACATTTGTTCCCTGACACGGTCCAATAGGCCCAAACAAAACCGAAATAAAAGCATGCCCACATCATTCCCTTGTTCTTACTTCTTTTTGGGCTTTTAAGAGGTCCGTACCTCACGAGAATTAGCGGTAATCTGGGCCAGGCGAGTATAAGCTCAGTTCGTTCTTTGGTGGAGTACATATAAGCCATCGATACCAATGTTATTTTATCCTTAGAAATTGCTAAAATAAGTTTTCAATTTATTATTATGTATTTAATTATATTAATTTAATGTATAAATAAAATATATTTATTTTATATACACTTCTATTTATTTTTTTCAATCAAAAATTGAGACTTCACATATTGATGTGAAAAATGCATCTTTTATTAATAAGATAAGGAGCTTATATGTTATTATATCTAATTAAAAGTTGTGTACAATAATTCTTTATATGTATAATTGATAATTATATCCTTGATTTTAGTTAATACATCCAAAAGAGGATAGCTCATATAAAAACTAAAATAAGAAGTTATATGAAATTCACCTGAAAAGATTTAGTTGGAAAAAAAAACTATATATTATAGCTTAAAATATCTTAAGATAAAACATGTATTATTATAATTTGAGATTTATTTTAAATATGTTTATTTGTGATGTAGTAATTAAAAATATATAAAAAGAACAAATACTAATTAATTTGTATACGAATCTCTGTTTCAAATAATCTTTTAACAATGCGCTCCCTGCTAACATGATGGTTGTTATGATTTTTTTATTTATTTTTTTATTTGTTCAGCCTACAACGCTTCATGGCATCCTTGGATCCACGTTGTTTTGTGGCGGGGCGGAATTCGTGAAAGTTTAATGGGAGCTTCCAGCTCCATTATCCTTCGAGGGGACGGGCAAGCAAATAAAACTTGGTTTTCTTATAATAATGTCATCATTACGTTGACTAGCAATATTGCTTTGAAGGTTGTTGTGCACGTTATGGAGGGTCCAGTGCCGAACCCACTTGGCATTAATTAACTTTCATGAGTCATGCCCTCGGCTAAAGTCCACTTCAACAGTGCATGTTTTCATGGCATCTTGTCTTCCATCAGAGAAGGCTAGGAGAAACCGAGTAGCAGTTACGACTTGATTTTCCAGTTGACCTCGGGAACACATGTTCAGTAGGTTGCCTCCTGCTATTTTGGATAATGCAATGAGATGAAGAGGTTTGATTGTATTATATTGGAAACCACCTTGTTCTATTTCCTTGAAACTTCTCAATCTGAATATTTTATTGGATATGATCATATTTTGACGTCTTGAGAACAAGTCCAGAGGTCGGGCAGAAGCTAGGAATAGTGTTGTATCTGCAGAGGAGGTTTGAAATGTCCGGCAAGAAATCTACCAAGAATAAATTTATAAAATAAATAAATTGACCTCAGAATAGTTTAATGGAAACCAATACAACTTGAAAAAATGCGGGAACTTTCCTCCGAACTTTGAGCTTCATCTTCTTCTTTTTTTGTTCCATGTTACTTCCTATCTAAGGAATTACTAGGGGGATTTTAGAATCTGAATAAGATTATTATGTGAATTGTGTTTTGAATCTGCTGAAATTCTCTGAGGAAATACATGGAAACAGAATTAAGGCTCATCGGAGACCAAATCCAGGAAAATGCAGGAACATCTGATGAACATGTCACTAGCATCACGAAGGCAGACAGGCAATGGCTAAAATCATTGGAAAAAAAGACTAAGCTATTGCCAAAATTGTTAAACAAATCAGCCGACAAGCGCTCTTGTTGCATCTTTAGAGTCCCTCAAAGCCTCGTCGAGATTAACAAGAAGGCAGATCAGCCCCATATTGTCTCCATTGGTCCTTACCACCACGGCAAAGTGCATCTCAGGATGATCGAAGAACACAAACGGCGGTTTCTTGGTGGTGTTCTTGCTCGAACACAGCAACATGGTATTGGAATCAACGAATTCGTCAAAGCCATAGCGCCGATTGAGGAGAAGATAAGAGATTGTTACTCTGAGACTATCGAATGTAGCAGACAAGAATTCCTTGAGATGATGGTGCTTGATGGATGTTTCATTATTGAGCTCTTCTGCATCGTTGGAGGGATAGTGCAAACAGATATTGGTGACCCTATATTCAATATGGCACGGATGTTTTTCTTTATCATGCGTGATCTTCTCAGGTTAGAGAACCAAATTCCCTTCTTTGTTCTTGAAACTCTGTTCGAGACCTCAATCTTATCTTCAAGAAAACAAAATGTTTCATCCCTGACGGAGCTTGCCTTGGAATTTTTTGATTATGCAGCACATAGACCTCCTGAAGTCCTAAGAAGGTATAAAGACACTAGAGGGAAGCATTCACTAGATTTGTTTCGCTCGACTATCATCCCTTCATCCCAAGAAGTACCTAGAAAGATCAGTCCATTCCTTAAATTGATTCAATCTGCCAAGAAGCTCCATCAAGCTGGAATGAAGTTCAAGCCAAGGGAGACTGTCAGCTTCTTGGAAATCGAATTCAGCAAAGGAGTCCTTGAGATCCCACTTTTAACAGTAGATGATTTCACTACGTCTGTCATACTCAATTGTGTTGCATTTGAACAATGCTATAACCATTGTTCAAAACACATTACAAGTTATGTTACCTTCATGGGCTGCCTCATCAACGCCCCTAGTGATGCGGGGTTTCTATGTGACTACAAAATAGTTTGAGAATTACTGCGGAACCGACGAGGAAGTTGCTCGTTTCTTCAATAATGTTGGCAAGGATGTTACTTCCGATATTCAGAGGAGTTACCTGTCAAAAGTGTTTGAGGATGTCAACGAGCACTACAGTAACAATTGGCATGTTAGATGGGCAGGGTTCAAGCATACTTACTGACACCCCATGGTCCTTCATATCAGCTTTAGCTGCTGTTGTTCTACTCATCCTCACTATGATACAGGCCTTCTTTGCTTTCTATGGATATTACCGTCCTCCTAAGCAATAATCATATTCTGTTGTTCTAACTTGCAAATTGTATAATTGGAATGCACTGAGCGATGAAAAACCATTCTCCTTGCAACTCTTTGCTGTCTTACCAAAACTCTGTAGTCTGCAGTCCCATGATAGTTTTCATGAAGCTTATGATGACAGTTGTACATTAGGCTTTTGCTTTCTCAGAATCATTTTTCTGCGCCTAGTTTGGCGAAGGAAAAGGCAGCCAACAGATGAAGACTAAGTAAACTCGTTGCAATGATGTACATACATTCCTGCCTTCAAGGTTTTCGTCAGGGCTGCGAGACAAATAAAATAGAGAACAACTCGAATTGCTTGTTCCGAAAGAGATGCCGTTCAACTCGTTTGTAATTGACACGTAATAAATTGAGCTTTAGTTCAGATGGTTTCCAGCAATTTCTACATCCATTTCATTCTCGATTCCATAATGAACTAAATATAAACCAGGACTTGCAGAATGTGAAATGAATACAGAGAAGCTACTTGTTCAAAGATCCCATGGACACATTTTTAAGAAACAAAAAGTCTACCAACGCCATGATTTTGCGAGCATCATAGTTAATGAGGGAAAATAATGGATTAAACTATCAACAGAATTGATCTACAGATTGCTGCAGTGATTGATAGTGAGCTTGTAACCTTTAATAATCTCTTCAGTATTTAGTTGAATTTGATTCTATTAGAACAGGAAAAAAAAAGGAAGAAGAAGAAGAACAAAAGTTTAACATACTTTATATCGCGCCTTTTCATTTTTTTTTTTTTTAAAAGGTATTAATCATGTCATTCAGCTAGAGATTTCAATAGCCTTGACATCAGGTTTCTTGACATCCTTTTTAGGCACAGTGACAATAAGAACCCCATTCTCCATAGAAGCCTTTACCTCATTTGTTTTCGCATTCTCGGGCAGCCTGAACCTCCTCAAGAACTTGCCACTGCTACGCTCCACGAGATGCCATGTATCGTTCTTGTCTTCCTTCTCCACATTTCTCTCTCCGCTAATTTGAAGCACTCTGTCATCTTCGATGACGACCTTCACTTCCTCCTTTTTAAGCCCAGGTAGATCTGCCTTAAACACATGAGCTTCTGGGGTCTCTTTCCAATCAATGCGGGTGTTCACAGAAGCTGCATTTTCACAAGAAAGGAGAGAATTTGAGGAGGAAGTGAAGGGAGTGAAGTCCTTGAATGGATCCCAAATGTCGAAAGAAGAGAATGAATCAAAAATGCTTCTGCCGCGGCGGTTGTCAAAGAAGCTTGGAATCATTGCCATCTTTTTCTCCCTTCTTTGTTAAAGAATCGCTTAGTTTAATGGGTAGCTGTTGAATTCTTTATTGCTTTTGGTTCTTGGTTTTCCTGATGATGAGCGAGTGATGAGACAGGATGGGTATTTATAGGAGACAAAGAAGAATCTGGAATATTGTTGATGATGAGACTTGGTAACTGATCGAGGAAGATTCTGGGTCCCATAAGAATCCGAAGTCTGATGAAGTTTCTAGTAAATTCTGGGTTTAAATTTATGGACATGTTTTTATTTGGGTTTGATTTCTTCATGGGCTTTAAGCCTATGTTACTATTATGCTTCCAGGCCTGTATTTTTTTAAAAAAAAATTATTTGCTGCTGGTGATTCAATTTTATTTATAAATACAGTTTTAAAACTATTTAATTTTTTTCTAATATAATGATTAATTTTTTTAATTTTATAATCTAAATTTTAAATTTTGAAAAAAAAATATTGTTGTTCAATGATTATTTTGAAAATCTCATATTGATTAATGGAGAAGTCAATATATATAATTATCTTTGTTTGTGTTGTATTAAGTTTGACAAAATAAATTTAGTGTTAGAACCATATCATCTCTAATTTGGATTTAAAATTCTTAACTCCTTTGAAAATTAATTAATATTTTATTATCATAAGATTATTAATTTTTCATCACACAAATTAATTCAAACATACGTATTACATCCAATAAAATGTTTATAAAGTCATTTTTCAATTAAAAATGAGGAAAAAGGAATAAAGGATCAAGATCTATAAATGAAAAAAAAAAAGATTGTTGAATAATTAAAACATTGATTTTGTAAAAATATCATGTTTATTATTATTATTTTTAAAAAAAAAAAAAAGCGCTCGGTTGAATGATAATAAGTGTGTAAATACTAAATAGATAGCATTAAACTCCTATGCCAAAATAAACTTTTGAAAAATTTACGAGCCCTTTAAATTTATTTCTCAAGGTTTTTTTGTTAAATATCTTAGCAAAAAAATCATAACATGAAATCTTACTTGATTTTAACAAAAATAATCATCAAAAAATGTTTTAAGAAGAATTTTAAATTGTTAGCTTAAAAATTCTCTATTATCATACTTTATTAAAAAAAAACCCAGAAAATTAAATAATTAATTCATATAAATGATTGATATGACAAATCCTACATAATTTTAAAGACTAACATTCTCATGTTCTTAGTATTGTGGAATAAAAAACATTTACACATGATCATGCTTTATTTTTTGAAATCACAACTTTACCGGCTGTAATTGGAGTTGTGTTTATTCTATAATTTCAATAAAATTTGAACTCTAATTTTGTTTAAAACTATTATTATTATTATTATTATTATCTTGATATTAAAAATAATTTTTGTAAAACTAAAAAAAAAATCAATAGTTTACTTTCGAATAATATTAGTGATGCAAGGAATGACAATGTAAAATGCTTTGTAGGATGTTAGATTTGTGGGTTTCAAGAAGGTTTGTACATTCAACCGATGAAGCAAGCTTTTATATATAAAGTGTTATGTCATCGAGGCATTCAACAAATGCCTACCGCTGGAACGTTTTATTGTTTTGTGAAGGAGTGCTTGCTTTCAACTAGCATTGGTTTGGCAACAAGTCTGACTGAACTTGGAGCGAAGGCAGGCGACTGATACCTCGGCATTATCCTTTTCAAGCACATCAATTATGTATTCGGCCCTGCTTTTCTATAAAACCTATTCCTTTGTAAATGCTTCATTTATAGCTGTGTTTTTCATCAGCATTTTGAACATATTTAACTTGCAGAGAACGTTAAGATTGGAAACTTTCTAATGAAAGCACTTCGGACATTACACGAGCAAGTATGGTGTGTCAAAATATTGAGATGTTGCAAGAAACTAAGATTAGAACTCCAGATTGTTCTATGAAAATCAGAATATAATTGATGATGTCAATTCTTATGATGAAACAAGAACTGTTATTAGCAAAACTATTTAGTTACATAATACATTTGAACACTAAAAAACCCAAAATTCTTACAAGCACATGATATTCAATGGGCATTCTCTCATTCAGTTAACCAGAGATTTCGATAGCCTTGACACCGTCACCAGGTTTCTTGAGCTCCTCTTTAGGCACAGTCACAGTAAGAACTCCGTTTTCCATAGAAGCCTTGACCTGATCCATTTTTGCATCCCTGGAAGATCTGCCTTGAAGACATGGGCTTCTGGTGTCTCTTTCCTCAGGCAGCCTAAACCTCCTCAAGAACTTGCCACTGCTTCGCTCCACCCTATGCCATGTATCGTTCTTGTCTTCCTTCTCTACATTCCTTTCTCCGCTTATCTGTAGCACCCTGTCATCTTCAACTTCGACCTTCACTTCCTCTTTTTTAAGCCCCGGAAGATCTGCCTTGAAGACATGGGCTTCTGGTGTCTCTTTCCAATCCACACGGGTGTTTACAAAAACTGAATTTTCATGAGAAAGGAGAGAATTTGAGGGGGAAGTGAAAGGAGAAAAGTCCTTGAACGGATTCCAAATATCAAAAGAAGAGAATGGATCGATAATGCTTCTTCCTCGGTAGTTATCTAAGAAACCTGGAATCATTTCCATCTTTCCCAGAAAATCTTGTAGCTTGATGGGTTTCTGTAAATCACCTGACCGCTTCCTTGTTCTTGATTTCTCAATGTCAAATGCGAGGCGACACGGATTGGTATTTATAATAACTAAACGAGCCATCTGGTACATTCCAGACGGTCGCCTCGGACCCTGTTTCAGGAAAATTCTGGGTCCACACCCAGATTTTAATTTCAGAAATTGAGGAACTTGCTCGAAAGTTCCTGTTTCTTTGTGGCTGTAGATTTAAAATGAGGGCCGATTGGGCTGGAATATATAATGGGCCTAAGCCTTGGTTTCGTATTTTGCTTTTGGGCTTTCTGATGTTTGATTTCCCTTTTGTATACAACAGATGATCTATGGATTCCGTTTTAAGATCCTCGTAAGAAATTCCATTAAGTTGTTTAGGGGTTGGGAAAGCTCTTGGTGAGGAAGACAACCCCTGGATCACTGTAAAAAAAATTCAATAGTAACTTTGAAAAGCTTAAAAAACTGTAAAAATAATTCAACGCCATTGTAAAAATCTCGTGAAAAACCAGACCCAAATAAAAAAACCCATTAAAGTAAAATAGATTTTATCAGTTTAGAATTTCTTTTTTTTTTATTAATAACTGGTTTTTAATCCCAGGGTTTAAACCTTAAAAAAACACTCAATTTAATTGTTTTTTCACATGTTTGAAAAGAATCACCATTAATTTTAGTACTCAATACAATATCAAGCTAGTCACGTGATTATCATATGGTATGCTTAGCAAATGTGCTAGATAAATGCGAGTGCTTATTTTTGTATTGTAATATGCTTTTTAAGTATTTTTGTCTGAAAAAATATAAAATTAATGTTTTTTATATATTTTTTTAATAATTTTAATGTGTTGATATTAAAAAATAAAAAATTATTTTAATATATTTTTAATAAAATAAACTTTTAACAAACATTCTACACCACAACATCAATAAAATAGATGTAGAACAAACTCTACTCCTAAATAACAATTTTATAAATATTAATGTTATTATTGTTATTATTATTACGTTGATTATTATTATTATTTGATGTTCAAGGGGAGAGGGTGCATTTCTCATCATTCCTATCTGTAAAGCGAAGTTCTTATTTTATACTATTCTTGAGTGAGTTTATTTGAAAATTTAATTATAGTTATTTTTTAAAATGTTATTTACTTATAAATTTATTAAAATAATATTTTTTTTATTTTTAAAAAATTATTTTTGATCTCAACATATTAAAATGATTTAAAAATACTAAAAAATATTAATTTAAAATAAATAAAAAATAAAAAAAATAAAATTATTTTTAAAACACAAAAACAAATAATTAAACAGCTTACTTTGAAAATGACCATTAGTTTGCAATGTATATGGCATCCTTTTATCCTTTTCAGCTCATTCACTTAAGAAATTAAGGGTCACATTCAACTCTAATTTCCAAAAAAAAATAACAAAACTAAACAACCAAGAAAGATGGGACGATGCATTTTGGCACAAGGCCAAAAGCCAAACTACTCGCCTTCCTAGGAATTACTTGCACGCACCCACTTCTTCCTATGCTACAGCCTTCTTGCGCATGAGCTCAATTCTCTGGAAAAAATATTTCAAATTCTGGTTGCACATACCATCTTAACACAGACAGACTTCAATGTCACATTAGGGTGCAATGACACTGATGCGAAGAAAACTGGAGTCAAAAGCTTGCAGGTTCTTAGACCAGTGGGTTCCCAAGGCAGAGGAACTGAAGGACTTCCTTAATTGTTCCATTGACCAATGCACAAAGGTCTAGCAAAGGCAGATGATGATTATGTCACAGAGGCATTCAAACAAATTCCTATGCCAGATCAAGAGAAACTTATAGAAGAACTTTCTAAGCAGCTTCATCAAGATGTTATGGTTGAGAAGTTGTTCGACGAGAGTGAAGAAGCTTGTAGACTAAGATATTTCACAGAGCTGCGTATGAAGCTTCCACCGGATAGCCGCCAAGGTTTCAATAACGAATTTCGCCGGAGATACTATTCAATCAGAGGTTCTTCTTCACAGTCCCTACATTGATGCTTGGTGTTTGGTTATGGTTACCCAAGTCAAAGCCCAAAATCATTTTATTTTTTTTGGAAATTGATTATTAGCACCAATTAGCAATAGAGAATAACAATCAAGAATTTTTAAAAATCAATTATGCACTATTATCGTTTTAATTAAACAATGCTTTTTTTAATGTTAAAAACACTTAAGAATTAACAATATTTAATAATTTTCTCCAACTGCAGATACATAAACTTACAAATCGAGGTGTTTTGCAGGGTTGCCATTGAAGCTTCACTTTAATAGCTACAATAGATTCGAGAATATTTTCAATCAGTGTTATCCTTGCAATACTATAGGCACACTAGTTTTTGGAACAATTGTTTCTGGGATATGTGAAGGATTTGGTCAGCAGATCGCTCAACAGATTTTTGAAGGTATAATATAGGTGGAAGTGAAGAGTCTTCTTTAACACTGGAGTTCTTCAAGGTGAAAACCCCGGTACGACTTCTACAACCACTAGGTAAAAATAGCAGGCGATGGAAGGACGTTACAAATTTGATCGTGGCAATCAAATGGAGATGGTAGCTTTGGTGAGAATCCGAGACTGTACTTTTGATGTTTCTCCTAGAGGTCTTTTGTTGCTCTTATGAAGCCTTCAGGATGATTTTGATTCCATCTGTATGAAGTAATACCTATAAACTACTAATTATTATAAGACGTTAAATATATTTATTGTAACACAGGATGAGATTCTAATTCTATGATAAATTTGTGATTATAGCTTTGGCTTGATGGGGTTTGGATTTGCCGTTAAGAGAGCCTTCCAGTCTATGTTGAAGTTCAGGGCGATCAATGAAGTACAAGAATATATTGTAAAGAAACTTCACAGGATTGTTGAAAGAACTTCTCTGATTTTGAGGGCTCTATTATTATCTGAAAGCCGAAATTTAAACTCGTGACTGGCAGTTAAACCTATGATAGTATAGGACTGATTCCTACGAAGACAAAATGCCCGGAAGGTGTCTTTTGAAACCAGGCCACAACTCAAGGTACTAAACCTTGTACAGGACTCAAATTCACCACTTTACTTGGCATACAATGATATTTTGCAGACAAACGAGGCCGGCATTTGTCCTTCTTTTCTTTACAGGAAGAGGACAAAAGACGTGAATGTAAGGTAGAAAAGAAACTACCAACAGCATTATTGCCAAAACCTGGGCGAATGGTTAAGAACATATGAGAATCACGAAAACAGTAAACTAACAAAAAAAAAATTAGCAAAATGTTATGTTACCTTCATAATAGATTGAATCCTTTAAGCACACAAACAGTAACAGAGAACTTCCAACCACTTGTAAAAACACAAAAGAACAATTCTTACAGACACAGAATATTTAACAGGCATTCTCTAAGTCAGTTAACTAGAGATTTCAATCGCCTTGACGTCAGGTTTCTTGACTTCCTCTTTAGGCACAGTGACAGTAAGAACCCCGTTCTCCATAGAAGCCTTGACCTGATCCATTTTCGCATTCTCAGGCAGCCTGAACCTCCTCAAGAACTTGCCACAGCTACGCTCCACACGATGCCATGTATCATTCTTGTCTTCCTTCTCCACATTCCTCTCTCCGCTAATCTGAAGCACCCTGTCATCTTCGATTTCGACCTTCACTTCCTCTTTTTTAAGCCCCGGAAGATCTGCCTCGAATACATGGGCTTCTAGGGTCTCTTTCCAATCAATGCGGGTGTTGACAAAGGCTGAGTTTTCACGAGAGATGAGTGAATTAGGGGAAGTGAAAGTGAAGTCTTTGAGTGGATCCCAAACGTCGAATACAGAGACTGGGTCGAAAATGCTGTTGGCTCGTCGATTGTAAAAGAAGCTTGGAATCGTTGCCATCTTTTACTTCTTTTTTCAGAGAATTAATCTTCGTTTACTTGCTGCTAATGTTTTGATTGCTTCTTCTTGTTCTCGATCTTTTCTGTGCAGAGGCGGGACAGGTCGGGTATTTGTAAGTAAAGGAGGCATCTGGTTTATTCTGGAAGATCGAGCAGTACGCTGAACCAGGACGATTCTGGGTCCAACCAACATCAGATAAGATTGAAGAACTTTCTCGTAAATTCCTGGGTCCTCGGTTGTGAATTGAAAGTGTGTAGATTTGATATTCAATTGGGCTTTACTTTTTAATTATCTGAAGCCTTTGTTTTCTATTTTTCTCATGGGCCAGTTCTACTGTTATAATTCTTTTTTTAATCATATTTTCAGTTTTCCTGCCTTAAAAGATTTTTAGCTTGTTAGAGCTTAAAAATGTTTTTGAAAATTTTAATTTTTTTAAAAATTAATTTTTTTATATGTTTTCATATTGTATGATGTTATAAATGAATTTTTTAAAAAAATAATAATATTTTAATATATTTTTAAATAAAAAATATTTTAAAAGTTAACCACTATCATAATACTAAATAAACTTTAATAAAGAATAATTAAAAAATGAAAAGATATGAATTATGAAAATAAGAATTTAAACTATAGACATATAATTGGAAAAGCACTTAGATAGGTTCTTGAATTAAGAATATTATAGGTGGGAAAATGCCATTAAATGTCAACTTAATGGTCCCTGAATTTGAAACGGGCTTAATTGAGTGGAAGAAAATAAATAATTTCATCCTCCATTCATGTAAATAAAGATATATATAATGATTGATAATCACATGTAAGAGTTGATATGATTTTTATTTTTTAAAATTACTTATATCATATCAATTTTAATATGCTTGTCAATCAATACATACATATTTTGATTTACATGGATAAAATTATCTACCAAAGTACTAACCTTATGAAAACCATGTTTTTTTCGTATAATATTTTTTATTATTTTATTATTATTTATTATAATAATTAGAATTAAATTTTTCTTAAAATACACGCAGCATGAAAGCTAATAAGCTATAAATGATATACTTGAAGTGGGTTTTTTTCATGAAAATAACTTTTTTTTTCTATTTGATTGAAAAAAAAATCATTGAATTATGTTCCTTTCTTTAATGATTTTATAATCACTTAAAATTATAATATAAATTATTTAAAATAAAATTGATACTTCCTCTGTTTTCAATTGGTTCTCTAGTTGACTTAATCTTCTGTTTTTAAATCTACTTTTTTTAATTGCAGATACCAGTTTCTAGTTATGTAACTGCAAAAATAATAGACTTTTGATCAGAAACTTATACGAAAAAATAAAAAATAAAAAAAATTATTTTAATATATTTTTAATTAAATATATCACATTACCGAAAATTCGAAATTTTCAAAAATATATGTTCTAAATAAAATTTGTGTTCTAAATGCATCCTTCTAATTCTTACGCCTCAAAGAGATTTGGGAGGGAAGAGAACATCAAAAATCAAGATACGCACAAAATTACAGGCAACCGAGCAAGACACAAGAAATTTTATTAGCAAATTTTTTTATTACATTACTCCTCTCTGTGGACTAGCGAGGAGACCAAACCTTTCTACTAGTAAATGAGCACACAAGAGCTAAAAAGTCACACAATTCTCAAAAGAGGTATTATCTCGTTCAACCAGAGATTTCAATAGCCTTGACGTCAGGTTTCTTGATCTCTTCTTTAGGCACAGTCACGGTAAGAACTCCATTTTCCATAGAAGCCTTGACCTGATCCATTTTTGCGTTCTCAGGCAGCCTAAACCTCCTCAAGAACTTGCCACGGCTTCGCTCCGCCCTAAGCCATGTATCGTTCTTGTCTTCCTTCTCCACGACCCTTTCTCCGCTAATCGGAAGGAGCCTGTCATCTTCAATTTCGACCTTCACTTCCTCTTTTTTAAGTCCTGGAAGATCTGCCTTGAAGACATGGGCTTCTGGTGTCTCTTTCCAATCAATGCGGGTGTTGACAAAGGCTGAATTTTCACGAGAAAGGAGAGAATTTGAGGTGGAAGTGAAAGGGAACTCTTTGAGTGGATCCCAAATGTCGAATGCGGAGAATGTGTCGAAGATGCTGCCGCCTCGGCGGTTGTTAAAGAAGCTCGGAATCATTGCCATCCTTCTTCTTCTTCTTCACAAAATCACTCGTTTGCTTACTTTGATGAGGTGCTACTGATATTTTGATTGCTTCTTGTGCTTGTTTTCCTTGATGTTGTACGAATGACGGAACATGCTGCGTATTTATATGAAGCAAGAGGAGACATCTAGTGTATTCTGGATGACGAAGTTGGACGCTGATTGAGGAAGATTAACGAACTTTCTGGTAAATTCCTGAATCCTTCTGCTTGTTAATTGAAAATTAAAATGGACTTGGTGTTTAATAGGCTTTGATTTTTAATGGGCTCGGGCTTATTTTTCTCCTATTTTGCTTACAGACCCTCTACGGTTTTAATTTTTCTTTTTCTTCTTCTTCTTTAATTTTCAGATTTCTTTTTCATAGAAAGGATGGGTTTATTTCTAAAAAATCAAAATTTTGAATTTCTAACTGGGAAGGTCCTCCAAGACCGGTTAACCACATGAATTAGGAAAATAAAATTTAATGTTTAGAATACTAAAAGGTAAATATATCAAAAGCTATTATTACATGGTCTATTTTAAGAGGGGAGATAAAAATAAAAAGAAAGATAAAATCATATATAAATCCATAAAAAATAATAAAAATATTTTAACCTATACTGAAAATAATTATTTTATTTCTATTTTTCTTCACTCTTTTTTATTCTTATATCTATCTCTTCGTGTGAACATTTCTTGAATAAACAATATTTTAAAAAGATAGAAATGCCATTTAAAATATTTGATTGCAAACATTTGGAGTGGGTTTTGGAGCAACACTATTAAGATTCATACCATCATGAATTTCTATTTCACACCGAATATGTAACTTGGGAAAAATCAAGGTAAATTTTTAGATAATTTTAATATGTTAATGTTTAAAATAAAAAATTATTTTAATATATTTTTAATTAAAAAATATTTTAAAAAAACATTTTACACCACAATACCAAATAAATAAAATAAATATACCTAACTATTAGAGTAGGTGTGTAGCATAAACTCTGCTACTAAATCACAATTTCCTAAATGTCTTCATTATTATTATAAAAAAAAAATTGATGGTCCAAGAGAGGAAGCATTATCCATCATATCTATCTGTAGAGTGAAGTTCTTAAGATATTAAAAAGACTATTTAGACTATAAACTGAGATGTTTCACAGATTATTATTATTATTATTTTCTCATTTTCAAAACATATTTATTTTAATATTCTCCAATTCTTCTATTCATTAAAACTCGTAGTAGTCAATATTATAAATTTTAAATTCAATTTATTAATTTATATTTTAACATCAATAATACCTTTAATTTTATATGTGGAGAACATCCACTCCATTACACATTATATCCATTATTATTTCCACCATTTCTCTCTCTTTACATCTCAAGGCGATCAAGAAAGTATAAAAATATATTGTAAAGAAACTTCATAGCATTGTTGAAAGAATTTCTCTGATTTTTAGGATTATATTATAATCTGAAAACCGAAATTTAAACTCGACTGTTTGTTAAAACTCTCATAGTGTATTAAAGAATATCGAAGTGTGCTATCGTACTAGTTAGCTAATTCCTACGAAGACAAGATGCCCAGATGGTGTCTCTTGAAACCAGGTAAAAACTCAAGGTGCTAAATCTAGTATAGGGCCCAAATTCACTACTTTACTTGGCATACAAAGATATTTTGCAGACAAACGAGGCCGGCATTTGTCTTCATCAAGGCGTTCTCTCGCGATGCATTACAGGAAGAGGACAAAAGACATGAATGTCAGGTAGAAAAGAAAATACCAACAGGCAACAGCATTATTGCCAAAACCTTTTGGGCGGATGGTTAAGGACATATGAGAATTACGAAAACAGTAAACTAACAAAAAGAAAGAGATTAGCAAAACTGTTAGGTATAATAGATGAATTCTTTGTGCACACTGACAGTAACAGAGAACTTCCAACCACTTAGAAAAACACAAAAGAAGAACAATTCTTACAAACACAGAATATCCAATAGGCATTCTCTCATTCAGTTAGCTAGAGATTTCAATCGCCTTGACTTCAGGTTTCTTGACTTCCTCTTTAGGCACAGTGACAGTAAGAACCCCGTTCTCCATAGAAGCCTTGACCTGATCCATTTTTGCATTCTCAGGCAGCCTGAACCTCCTCAGGAACTTGCCACGGCTACCCTCCACCCTAAGCCACGTATCGCTCTTGTCTTCCTTCTCCACATTCCTCTCCTCTGATCTGAAGCACCCTGTCATCTTCGATTTCAACCTTCACTTCCTCTTTTTTAAGCCCCGGAAGATCTGCCTCGAATACATGGGCTTCTTGGGTCTCTTTCCAATCAATGCGGGTGTTGACAAAGGCTGAGTTTTCACGAGATATGAGTGAATGAGGGGAAGTGAAAGGGAAGTCTTTAAGTGGATCCCAAACGTCGAATGCAGAGACTGGGTCGAAAATACTGTTGGCTCGTCGGTTGTCAAGCTTGGAATCGTTGCCATATTTTACTTCTTTTTTTTTCAGAGAATTAATCTTCGTTTGCTTGCTGTAATGTTTTGATTGCTTCTTTCTTGCTCTCGATTTTTCTGTGCAGAGGCGGGACAGGTCGGGTATTCATAAGTAAAGGAGGCATCTGGTTTGTTCTGGACGATCGAGTGGTACGCTGAACCAGGAGGATTCTGGGTCCAACCAACATCAGATAAGATTGAAGAACTTTCTCGTAAATTCCTGAGCCCTCGGTTGTGAATTGAAAATGTGTGGATATGATATTCAATTGGGTTTGATTTTTTAATGGGCTCAAGTTTTATTTTTATATTTTTAAAGTATTTTTAAAATATTATTTTAATATATTTTTAAATAAAATAACACTTTAAAAATCAACTATTATCATAATATTTTTAATATACGAAAGGTCTTGTAAATAAATAAAAAACATAAATCATGTAAATAAGAATTTAATGTATAGACATCTAATTCTTGAATTAAGAATAACATAGGTGGGAAAATGCCATTAAATATCAACTTAAGGGTCCATAAATTTGAAACGGTCTTAAGTGAGTGCAAGAAAATAAATAATAATTCCTCCTCTATTTATTTATTTATATATAATTAATGATTGATTGATAATCACGTGTAAAAGTTGAAAACTATCTATTGTAATTTTAATCAGAACCTTGTATAAATAAAATTGACCGATTATTTACAGCATTAAAAATTCATTTAATATTGTGATAATTTTTACTTTCTTAACATAATATTTTTTATATAATTTTGATATATTAATATAAAAAAAATATTATTTTCATATATATATATAACCAACACTCCAGATTAAAAAATTCAAGGAATAGTTGCATAATAGCTTCAATGTTATGCTGAGCAGCTCAAAACTTAAAAACTAATGGTCAATGACGAAAATTCTCAGCTCTTTGTTATCCTGGGAAATTCAATAACTTCAATGTTGCATACTTAAACCAGGGGCTACCATGATCTTTTGGACGACTAGATCTGTATAAAGCATCGCTGTCACTGCATCCATCTATTATCAACAATATGATCGATGGTCATTATCTCACCACGATATTATGGACTAGCAAGCATGGGGCGTATAGAAACGAGATGCTACCAGAAACCGACTTCCATCTCCAGATTATTCTAGCTAAGAAATTCAAAGTATACTCGATATGATGAACAATTTATGTTCTGAATGCATCCTTCTACCTCTTACGCCTCAATGAGATTTACGAAGGGAGGGAAGGGAACATAAAAAATCAAGATACGACACAAAATTACAAGCAACCGAGAAAGACACATGAGAATTTATTAGCGAAAGTTTTGATTACATTACTCCTCTCTGCATACTGACGATGAGACCAAGCCTTTCGACCATTTGTAAAAGACAAAAAAGACACAATTCTCAAAAGAGGTATCTCGTTCAACCAGAGATTTCAATAGCCTTGACATCAGGTTTCTTGATCTCTTCTTTAGGCACAGTCACGGTAAGCACTCCATGTTCCATAGAAGCCTTGACCTGATCCATTTTTGCATTCTCAGGCAGCCTAAACCTCCTCAAGAACTTGCCTCTGCTTCGCTCCACCCTATGCCATGTATCACTCTTGTCTTCCTTGATCACATTCCATTCGAAGTTGATCTTGAGACTCCTGTCATCTTCAATTTCGACCTTCACTTACTCTTTTTTAAGAGCATTAATATCAGCCTTGAAGACATGGGCTTCTGGTGTCTCTTTCCAATCAATGCGGGTGTTGACAAAGGCTGAATTTTCACGAGAAAGGAGAGAATTTGAGGTGGAAAGGAAAGGGAACTCTTTGAGTGGATCCCAAATGTCGAATGCGGAGAACGTGTCGAGGATGCTGCTGCCTCGGCGGTTGTTAAAGAAGCTCGGAATCATTGCCATCCTTCTTCTTCTTCACAAAATCGCTCGTTTGCTTACTTTGATGAGGTGCTACTGATATTTTGATTACTTCTTGTGCTTGTTTTCCTTGATGTTGTACGAAAGAAGGGACATGCTGCGTATTTATATGAAGCAAGAGGGGACATCTAGTGTATTCTGGATGACGAAGTTGGACGCTGATTGAGGAAGATTGACGAACTTTCTGGTAAATTCCTGAATCTTTCAGCCTGTGAATTGAAAATTAAAATGGACTTGGTGTTTAATCGGCTTTGATTTTTAATGGGCTCGGGCCTATTTTTCTCCTATTTTGCTTAGAGGCCCTTTACGGTTTTAATTTTTCTTTTTCTTCTTTAATTTTCAGTTTTCTTTTTTCATAGAAATAACATTTGACTCAAGGATGGGTTTATTTAGAAAAAAAAAATTGAATTTTTAATTAGGAAGGTCCTGCAAAACCAGTTAAACACATGAATTAGGAAAAATAAAATTTAATGTTTAGAGCACTTAAAGGTAAATATATCAAAAGCTATTTTATGGTCTTTTTTAAGACGAGGATAAAAATAAAAAGAAAATTGAAAATCATATATAAATCCATAAGAAAATTATTTATTTTCAAAAACTTATTTTTTATTTTTATTTACCTTGATTTTAAATTTGAAATAAAAAATAAAAACAAAGAAAATAGATAAAATCATAACCAAATCCATCAAAAAT